CGTAAAGCATGCGACTCACCGATCGCTGACTTGCATCACTGCGATTGATACATCTTACAATTGGTCCACGGTTGCTGCTTGGCTCTCAAGTTCAGCTTGGCTCTCAAGTTCAGCTTGGCTCTCAAGTTCAGCTTGGCTTTCAAGTTCAGCTTGGCTCAAGGTTGATCGGATCGATTGGTACAATGAGGGTTAGGCAGGTAGTCCCATAGGTCCACAGAAAAGGCCTTCTGTAAGCACACAAAAACCACAACGATTAATCAGTTTGAATTTCGAATAGTATTTGTTATTTTTCAACGTATCTACTGTACTTGTACAAGTATGCATTTTCAAATTTGTGACATACAAACAGATCACAACAATTACAAACTACACCATAAAACTCAGAATGTTTGAAAAAGTATGAAAAAATGTATAGGTAACTACTTTATAAAGCATGCTAAAGCATTTGCAAAATTATACTAATACACATAGGTAGCTACACCATTAAATGCATTCAAACATTTGTAGTAGTATGTCAAAACACATAGATAACCACAACATTAAATGCACTAAAACATTTGTAGTAGTATGTCAAAACACATAGGTAACCACACCATAAAACATTGTAAATAATTTGTAATAGCATGCACTATCACATGTGGTAACACATAACCAATCACTTTGACACATGTAGAGTCACACCATAAAACTTGTTAAAATTTGAAAATGAAATAAAAAAAAAAAATAAAAAATACACGCATAAATGACCGCACCATAAAACATTGTAAATAATTCGTAATAGCACGCACTATCACATGTAGTAACCCATTAGCAATCACTTTGACACACGTATAATCACACCATAGATCAAGTTAAAATTTAAAAAAAATAAAAAAAATACACTAAAACACGTAAATAATCGCACCATAAAACATTGTAAATAATTCATAATAGCATGCACTATCACATGTAGTAACACATAAGCAATCATTTTGACACAGGTAGAGTCGCACCATAAAACTTGTTAAATTTTGAAAATGAAATAAAAAAAAAAAATAAAAAATACACGCATAAATGACCGCACCATAAAACATTGTAAATAATTCATAATAGCATGCACTATCACATGTAGTAACACATAAGCAATCATTTTGACACAGGTAGAGTCGCACCATAAAACTTGTTAAATTTTGAAAATGAAATAAAAAAAAAAAATAAAAAATACACGCATAAATGACCGCACCATAAAACATTGTAAATAATTCATAATAGCATGCACTATCACATGTAGTAACACATAAGCAATCATTTTGACACAGGTAGAGTCGCACCATAAAACTTGTTAAATTTTGAAAATGAAATAAAAAAAAAAAATACACTAAAACACGTAAATAATCGCACCATAAAACACTCTAAATAATCCATAATAGCATGCAGTATCACATGTAGTAACACACTGGTAATCACTTTGACACATGTAGAACAACACCATAAAACGCGTTAATACATCCCCACATGTTTGTAAAAAATCACGATAAAACACGCTAGGCATAAGCACTAACACTTTAGGTAACACTGATATAAGCATACAATCGATTAATTAAATCCTTGACTCGTACCGGTAAATGTTGTGTTGAGTGACCCGAACCCCTTGGCAGCTCCGATAAGACTGATGTCTCCGACCTTTCTCAAGTGCAAAGCGCCACCGATGATTGGCAATTCGCGGTGGCCAATTAACACGCGAATTTTTCATGAACCAACCAGCGGTGCTATATTCTACTGCTATTGGCGGAGAATTGCTCGAATGAATTCCATTCCAATTTTTGGTTATAATAACTATTTTTTAATTCATTTGTTATTGTTAATATTGAAATTTACTGTTTTTATTAATTTTCACGCGTGAATAAGTTTCTTTAGTTACTACATTCTTATATTACGTACTAAATAATTATAAATTACACATTTCTTTTAATTTTAATTTTAATTTTGTAGTAATTGTTAATAACATTGTTATTGTATCTGTGATAATTTATATTTTTATCAACATTTATATGTGTGTACGTAGTTAATTTTTTTTTAATTATTACATTTTTGTGTGAGGAGTAATTTGTGTAAAAAACTTTTATTTATTTATAATTTATTTTTACATTCTAATGTACATTTTTAATTCAAGTATCACAGCATTCTAATTCGTAAAAAAGATATAAAAAATTATAATTTAACGCTTTATTATTACATGTTTTATTATTTATTATTACTCTTTGATAACAATAACATTATCAAAATAAATAATTACGCTTTTTCGGTAAAATAATATATTTTTATGTGCTGTTGGTATTTGCAAATTGTTGTACGATTACAACAAAATTAGAAGAATTGTGTTACAATGAGTGTAAAGCTTTTTATTTAAAAATTGATAAAAGCGCATTTTGTGAATTATAAAAAGTAGAAGTGAAAAGTAGAAAATTACGTAATAAAACAGCTATGAAAAATGAAGATACAGACAATATCATAATTTCATATCATGTAATATAAACAATCCTACATTTCCCTCCACTTTTGCAATTTTATTCCAATTTCATTTAAATTTTGAATCGCGTTTCCAGTTCGATTTGCGACCTCTATCTTTCAACCACAAAAGGCGCTGTAATAAAACCAGCCACACTTGATACAGTAGAATGCGACACTAAAATGATAAATGAGATCTTATATTTCCATGTACATGAAAAAAAGGCATTGCATGTATTCTATCTTAAAATCTATTCGTGATTTTATATCTTATCTACAAAGATACAAAATTACAAATTTTGAACTACATTCGTAATATTCGTTACCGACATTTCGAATACTACCAGTATCATACCGACCAATCCTACGCTTCGTTTCATCACGTGACGCGTTCGCACGCAAGATGGCGCACGTGACGCGCCAGCTGATTGGCGCGTCGTCCGCGACCAAGTGTCAATCTCTTCGAGCAGGTGGTGCTCGCGTCTCACCGCATTTGTAATGGCGTGCGACGGCTAGGAAAAGGGCAACAACGCGCACGAGTGCTCGGGTTTTTCGTTGGTTGTAAAAACGGAAAAGTGCGTTGGTGAGCGGGTGTCGTGACAGTATCGCGAAAATGACAGCGACGTCGAGTATCCTGCCGTCGTATCAGCGGTTCGTGAACGGTGTGCCGGTGCCCCTGTTCTCGAGACGGTCGTTCCGTCCGCGTGAAAAGTATCTGATCCTACTGGTGTTTTTGACGTTCGGTGTCGTGTGTTTCGGTACGTTCTTCTTTTTGCCGGATTTCCGCGCTGGCACCGGTGGCGTGGCAGTGAACAGTGTTTACCGTGTTTACCAGCACATACAGAAAGCGGGACCGGAGTTGCTTATACCGGCGCCACCACGTCTGCAAGGGGGCCCAAAGGGGTCCATGGGTCATCCGAATGCTGTGCCACCTGGACACGAGGGCATCGATCATCAGGATGTCCATCTGATCGAGGACAAACAAAAATTGCAGGTTCGCGCGAAGTGTTGTTACGTTCTCTCGACGTTGCGCTTCCTTCGACTCCTCGATACATCGACTCTCGATTTCTCTAGCCAACTCCGAAACCGCGCTCAACCTGTTCACGATTTTTTCAACTCCCGTTCGAACGGTATGTTGCTCACTGGTTTTGACATTGATCCGACGTTTAACTTATCGAGAACGTGTTCTCGTTCTGGAGCCACGTTCTTTCAGCTGTTACACGCGATTCCTGACCTGTTTGTTTACACGCGGCCATCGTGACGTATCACGGGCACACGTGAGTTTTCCTGTATACGTGTTCATGTAACGGATAGAAAGTTCTCACGGTTTTGTGATTCAGAGTCCTTTGCTAGACTTTCCTGTTGACTGTTAAAGGTCAATTTAAATTAGATAACGTCACTTCACGTATTCAAAGTAAAGGTAGCCAAGTTACACGTATAAATGTATGTTTAATATACACATTTTAAATATTTAATATAAGACACGTTTCTTCATGAATCGTATAAAGTTTCATTAGGACACCCTGTATGTACGTATTGAGGGAAACGTTCGCGTAGAGGGGGTAGCTATGTTTACGTTATGTCGGCGTTGACGTTGAGTGTAAATGGAGCTTAAAGTGGTTGTGTCGCGGGAATCAAGTTTAAAAGATAGGACGTTAGTTAATTTGACAAATTAATATAACTCTGTTAGGTATTTTAATTGTTATTGACTAAATTATCTTCTCGAATTTTACTTGTACTTTTATATCATTATTATATTTACATAAGTATTTTTTAAAGTTTCGAACTTTTCAGAGTTAAGTACAGTTTGACAGTTTGCAAATAGGAGGGTTTGAGCATTTGTAAATATAGGGATTTATAGTATTGGGGAATTTGGAAATTTAGAAATGTAGAAATGTAATTGGAAATTATGGAAATATAACAATTTGGAAATTTAAAACATTTATAGTGGAGATTAGAGAAGGTGGTAATTTGGAAATTGGGAAATTTGAGAATTCCAAAAATTTGTAATGGAGATTAGAGAAGGTGGTAATTTGGAAATTGGGAAATTTGAGAATTCCAAAAATTTATAGTGGAAATTAAAGAAGGTGGTAATTTGGAAATTTGGAAATTTGAGAATTCCAGAAATTTGTAATGGAGATTAGAGAAGGTGGTAATTTGGAAATTTGGAAATTTAGAAATTTGGAAATTTCAAAAATTTATAATAGAAATTACAGAAATTACTAATTTAAAAATTGATAAATTTGAGAATTTAAGAACTAGAAAATTTAGTAATTTAAAAATTCTCAAAAGAAGCTTACCCACTATATCTAAACCTACACATGACCCATCCTGCCTCCCATGGTTATCTCCCGTCGTGCTCCGATTACTATTTTGAATCGCAGCAGTGGAATCCGATCGTTGTCTCATGATTTCGTTGTTTCGCATACAACTCCCTTTTTATTCATTCGCGTCGTAAATAGCGCGAGACACGCAAAACTGTAGATTCAGCCCACATATCGCGTGGTCGTAAAATTTTCAGCGGCAACCAAAACTTGGAGTCGTTTGAATCGATCGCGTTACATCGTGCGATTTCTCGTCGCCGTAAATGGTTATCGTTACGAGTGCGGATGGAATAGCGAGCGAATTACAGACTCGTGAAACGTAACTGTGTGAACTTCGTTGAACGGGATCGAATTATCTAATTTTTCGTCGGCATTGCAGCCAGTGTCCCGCTCGCGAGAACGAGTTTTATCAACGCTAATAGACTCTCGGCCTAAAATTTCACAGCACAATTTCCGACGCATCGACCCTCGTTCAGACACTTTGCTTTGACCGGCTCATTTATAGGGTGGTGTGAAAGTACATATTAGATAAGGAAAAGTAAAGTTATACTTTGCTTTTGTACTTTCGCTTTGTGTAAGATAAGGCGTTGACGATAGTAGTGTTTGAAGTAGTGGACGGTTTTTAAATATTGTCAGTTATTCAATGTTTGTTAGGTAAGCTTCCCAGGTGGCAGTGTTAAACTACGCTTTTTTTGAGCAAACGAATGTGTGCATATGTTACTTTGTAACTTCTGAATTTTATGTTTCACTTTTTTTAAGTAAAAGATTATGTATTTTGTATATTATTTTACAGACTTTTTCATTTTTTATCAAGTTTGTTATTGTTGAAGTTACATCAGTTTTGTCTCATTTTTATACTGTCAAATATATTTTAATTTTAGGTATATAATTTATCTTATTTTTACATGTAAGATATATCTTATTTTTGTACTATAAAATATATTTCATTTTTATGTATAAAATTTATGTTATTTTTATATATAAAATTTATCTGATTTTTACATACAAAATATATCTTATTTTTATACTATAAAATATATTTCATTTTTATCTATAAAATTTATCTCATTCTTATGTATAAAATTTACCTTATTTTTATATATAAAATTCATCTTATTCTTATATATAAAATATATCTTATTTTTATACTACAAAACATACTTCATTTTTATCTATAAAATTTATCTCATTCTTATATATAAAATTTACCTTACTTTTATATATAAAATTCATCTTATTTTTACACACAAAATATACTTTATTTTTACACATAAAATATATAGTACACAAAAAGCTTAATATTAATATAAACATAAAGAAATTTTTCATTAAAAATTGTTCTGTGTACTTAAATATTAGTTACCTTGTACTTCGCCCTAATTTCATTAAACGAAAGATGGAAGATACAAGGATGTTTTGTGTTTTTAATTTGGTTCTCGAGTGTGTACGATCGTGACGAAAGCGGTTTTCTAAAGATGATGAATGGACAAAGTACAGAATCTGTACAGTTGCAATGGCGATTCTAATTAACGATGACGAGCCTGAGATTGCAGTTCGATTTATGGACCGATATGAAACGCTCGTGAATCAAACCGTTTTCGCGTTTATTCGACGTCGACGCCCCTTGTTCCGAAATAATAGAATTTATCGCCAATTCATATTCAATTGCATCGCTCGAATGTTTAACGTTGCAACGTAAACTTAATTTGCATCGTTTTCGTTCACTTAATTTGCAACGCCAATATTTATAAAGTTCATGTACAATCGGTGGAAAAGTTTGTATCAAAACTTCTCAATGATTTGTAGCGTTTGTGCAGTTTTATGCTTGGTGATTCATTCATAGTTTGCCAGATGTAACCGTGATCCTTGTAATTTTAATTGCAAATGAGAATCGTTTGACTTCACAGTTATGAGATACTCTTCATTAAGATCAGGTATTATTAGAAACTTCAACTGTTAGGTTCTTACTTCTTGCTTTAAAATTAGCATTAGTCTGTTTTTCAAAAATATTTAAGCTTATTATTAACCTCTTATATTATGATGTATCAGTAACGTCAAAACTGACTAATATGCAATATTCAAGCAGACAAAGTTTAAATTTCATGTCAATTATGCAGTCGATTATGCAAATTATAATTAGACTTGAACTCCAAAGTATAAAACTCCAAATTCGAATAAAATCAATAACAGCTGAGTGCGTAAATCCGAAAATACCCAGTTACAAATTAAGTATCAAATATTCAGTACACTCGAATGTTTCCAGATGTCTTTTCCAAGCACAAACGATAAAGTTAACACTTGCCAAAATTATCTGACTGACGTGTACAGTTCAATCATATTGATCCACGATCGATTCACGATCATACGTGTTACGATTAATACACGTCGATTGTTGGACACGGTTTGCATAATCTGTTCCCGTGTGCAATAATCAATCATGATTTAGCGGGCTGGATTAATCGAATCAAATGTGGGCCAACTGGCGCGCAGTTGAAAGAGTTGTAACGAGACGCAAGATGTTTTTGTACGGGTCATTTAATTGGAAGTAATTGTATCAATGGAATGAGGACACTGATAATGTATTCCTTCATTTATATGGCTTGTGAGTCTGTAACATAGAATTTATCTAAATAAATTATTTTCAAGTTTATTTTTTTTTGGTGGAAAATTGTTTTTGTAAATAAATTATGTGGTATAGTAATTATTATCTTTTAGCTATAAAATATTATTCAACTCAATTTAGTAGTAAAGTACTTCTAGTTTAACTTAATTTAATTTGTATTGCAGCATCATAGAATTTAATTTATCTAAATAATTTTCAAATTTATTCTTTGTGTTGGCAAATTATTTTTGTAACTAAATTACATGGTATAGTAATTATTATCTTTTAGCAGTAAAATATTATTCAACTCAATTTAGTAGTAAAGTACTACTAGTTCAACTTAATTTAATTTGTATTGCAGCATCATGGAATTTAATTTATCTAAATAATTTTCAAATTTATTCTTTGTGTTGGCAAATTATTTTTATAGCTAAATTACATGGTACAATAATTATTATCTTTTAGTAGTAAAATATTAATAAATTTAATTTAGCAGTAAAATACTAGTACAACTTAATTTAATTTGCAGCATCATAAAGATTGTCTGATTTAGCCTGAAATTTATAAAAATTAAAGATTAATTATATGCGAAGTTACTTTCAATAAACTTTGAGTTTTGCATCCATTACGTTATTTCAACTTCACAACTTCAGAAGTAATTATTAACTTAAACAAGTTCATTTAGTTCTTCAAACTCAGTTCAATTCACTGTGAAATATCTAAAAATAATTCAACAGCAATTGCACTTAAAGACACTTTCTATAAACTTTGAGTTTTGCATCCATATCATTTGAAGTTTATAATTTCCTAATTAATTAATTTCTTCAAGCTTTCACTTCAGTAAAATTTTCTACGTATTTGCATAACATTTTCCAGTTCTCAAGAATCTCCCGTTATTAAATTTATGGAATCCGATAAGCGAAACGGAAAAATGTGAAATAATTAATTGGACGGATATTATCGTATTGTTATGCTTCTGTTGGCAGACACAGCATAAATCGAGATAAAACGAGCTGTGAAATAGTTTTATTCGAATTCGATACAGCGCTTCGAGCAGTCCTTATCAAACGAGATATCGAATCTGAATTTTATTATAACATGGTCATGGTATTGCAGCCAGCGTACAATCCAATCTGGTTAGTCACCGCAGTGAGATAACGTTTAATTAAAACACAAGAAATAAAAATGATTTCGCGTGCTGCATTATTGATCGGGAGGAAAAAGATGGTGTGGGAAACTTTTTAAACGGACATTTTTGTCAGGGTAATTGATCGAATTAAGAACACCTATTATTAACTAAAGTATACATGGCTGAGTTTACGTTAAGTAGGGGTTACTTAATCGTTATGTTATTAATTACGAAGGGTAATTAGGTGCGAGTATAAAAGTTGCGAACGCGTTTAATTAGGGTCGAAATAAATTTGTTGCTCATGTTTAATTAGCAGGAGGAATGAATAATTATGGCGGATAATTAATAGGATTAGACACTTTCTGCTGTTAAATATTTCAGAATTTGTTACTTTCGAGTTTGATCACTTGCAGATATTACGTTTCTAAATTCCCAAATTTTTAAATATACATGTTTGAAGATTTCTAGGTTTTCAAATTTGATGATTTGAACGTTGCGAGTTTTAAACTTGAAAATTTGTAAAAGTGTAATTTTTAATTTTGCAAATTTGTAAAATGGAAAATTTTAATTATACAAATTTGTACATTTGGAATTTTTTATTATATAAATTTGTAAAAGTAAATTTCTAATTACATAAATTAGTAAATCTGAAATTTCTCATTACATAAAGTACATTTGAAAATCCCAAATTCACTAATTTCAAAATTTAAAGAATTTCAAATCTCCCACCCTAAAATTTCTAAATTCTCAAACCACAGTATTCTAAACTCCACAAATTTCGAAACTCATAAACTTCAAATTTATAAATTTCCACATTCATCAAAAATAAAATTAGCAGTAATTGAAACTAGACTCTGTACAAAACTTCTACATAGAATCCATGAATCACCCCAACAAATAAAAATAAAAATACAACTTGTCGTTCGAAAATTTGTAACGGACGGATGATCGAAAGTCGAGAGTGTCGCGGAGCAGGTTGGAGCGTACAAAGCGAAAGAAGCGCATTTTTGTCGAGTCGAGATTGCATTCAGATGTCGGTGTTCGGATAAATACGTTGCTGTGGGGTCTCTCGAGTGGACCAGCGGAAAATTTGATTTCCCTGAAGAAGCCAGGAGTAGCAGGGATCTCGTTGGACTCGACGAGGATTTTGTATAAAACCGCGTGTAACAGAGGTCGAACGGAAATGGAGTGGAAAATGGATATCTGACGGGATCGGTTGTATCCTTGAAAAATCGTATTGCAAGCATGCAAATGTTCCGAATTGAATGGAACCGTTTAAACGAGAATGTTTCGTGATTCAATCGTCTCACTGAAACTTTCATCTTCTGGAATTGATTTTGAATAATCAACATTTAGTAGAAATATGTGAAAATTAGTTAAAGAGAAGCCATTTGTATTTTGGTCCATGTAGATCCAAGTAGGATTGCTAGGTTAATAAAAGTTCTGGTTCTTTGGTTTTTCTTGTAATATTTTTACTGATGACTTAATGTCTGATGGATAGGAATGAAAAGGATAAATCATATTAAACAGAAAGATTTCAGAATTACTTGTAGAAAAGGTATTTTTAATTTGGATCACATAGATTCAAATACAACAGCAAGGTTGATAAAACTTCAGGTTCTTCTGTTGGTCCTATAACATTTGGGACCAAGGGCCACATTAGTGGACACCCATTTCCTAAATAATCAGTCAGTCTCCCTTATAACAGTTTCAATGATCGAATTAAGAACACCTATAACATCTGATGCCAGAAATTAGAAGGTGAAACTACATTAGGTACAAAGTATTTCAAAATATATTACTTGTAGAAAAATCATTTTCAGTTTGGACCACATAGACCTAAATACAACAGCAGGGTTGATGAAACTTCACATTCTTCTGTAGCTCTCGTAATACTTCGAAAGATGACCTGATGTTTGACGCCAGGTTTAAGGATAAACCATATTAGGCAGAAGGATGTAAAGGCATATTACTTGTAGAACAGCTATTTTCATTTTGAACCACATAGACCTAAATACAACAGCAAGGTTAATAAAACTTCACATTCTTCTGTAGCTCTCGTAATATTTTTAAAGATGACCTGATGTTTGACGCCAGGTTTAAGGATGAACCACATTAGGCAGAAGGATGTAAAGGCATATTACTTGTAGAACAGCTATTTTCATTTTGAACCACATAGACCTAAATACAACAGCAGGGTTGATGAAACTTCACGTTCTTCTGTTGCTCCCATAACATTTGGAGCTAATGTCCACATTAGTCGACGTCCATATTTCTAAACAATCAATCTGTCATATATTTCCAAAGATGTCCTAACATCTGATGCTAGGGTTGGAGCTTGTGATTTCCCACAAGAAAGTGAAACCTGCATCCTATATTAGGATGTGAAAATATATTACCTGTGGAAAAGATATTTCCACTTTGGATCACATAGATTCACACACCATCAAGGTTAAAATGTCACGTCCTACTTCTCATAATATTTTCAGCGATGTCCTGACGTTTGATGCCAGGAATAAGAAGGTTAAAAGTTGAACATGAATTTCAAATAAATCCACCCATTTAGATTATTCAAATGCACGTCCAAACTTCCAGACAATGTCTCTGAGTCTAGACGCGGCTTTAAATGAGTGATGACACTCTTTCTGGAGTGACCTAACCCTCGAGAGACCAACATGATCGGATTAGTTAATGCAAAATTCGTTCATTGTATTTGTTGTAATTGTATTTTGTTGTGATTGTACATCCTCGATGAATTCGGAGGAATAACACCGTCATCTGACAATGTCGAGCCGCGACTTCATCTGACCGCGTTTCAGGCGAAAATCGACGAGGAATACCAGCAACAGAAGACGCTGGAAAAACCGGAAGTGAACGTTGGTGATTCGCGTGTGCGTGCGAGTAGTTCGTCCTCGTTGGTCCTTCACCGGAAGGACGAAGTTCTGGAGACAGTGCCACCAGCGCCAGCGGATAAGCTGCCTTTAACGGTCGGGGGAGAGGACAAGGACCCCGTCGCCAGGGAACGAAGGGATAAGGTGAAAGAGGTGAGTTTTTTCCACGACATTTTACTTCAAATTTTATGCTTCTGCTATTTCACTACATACTATGTACATTTCCGTCGAAAATGAGATTTATATCAGAATTTATGTTAACCTTTTTTAGACCAAAGTTAAATTTAGGTTTCTAACTTTTTGGATTAATTTGGGTTTATGAGGCTTTCTGATGAAATCTGGGTTTTACAGTTTTTTCGTCAAATTTAGATTTCTAAGTTTTTGTAATATAAGCTGGATTTTTTAGGTTTTTTGATAAATTTAGATTTTTTAGTTTTTTCATTAATATTAGATTTTTCCATTTTTCTAGTAAATTCAAATTTTTCAGGTTTTTCTTTAAATTTAGATTCATGAGTTTTCCCAATAAAATCTAGATTTTTTAGTTTTTTCTTTAAATTCAGATTTATGAGTTTTTCCATTAAATTCAGATTTTTCAGTTTTTGCTTTAAATTCAGAATTTTTAGTTTTTCCATTAAAATCAGATTTCTCAATTTTTCCACTAAATTCAGATTTTGCAGTTTTTTCTTTAAATTTAGATTTGTAATTTTTTGCAATAAAATCTAGATTTTTCAGATTATTTATTAAATTTAGACTTTTTAGTTTTTTCCATTAAAATCACATTTCTCAATTTTTCTATTAAATTCAGATTTTTCAGTTTTTCCTTTAAATTTAGATTTATAAGTTTTTCAATAAAATTCAGATTTATAAGTTTTTTCAATAAAATTCAGATTTTTCAGTTTTTTCTTAAAACTTAGATTTTACAGTTTTTCTCTAGGTACACAAATATATGGGTATATAGGTTGGAAATTGAGAGTTAATTGTAAAAAGTGTTCGAATAATTGAGATGCTTAATTAGTAGCGGCAACACAATAGATAATTAAAATAAGTAATAAACAAGTTACGCATCGAATTGCGATCGATTTGCAATTATTACGCAACAGATACTGTGAAAGGGTTAATCAACGATTGTTTGGCTTTAATTCTATGCTAACGATCTCGCTTTGCGTCCTCATCACCCCAAAGTTTAATTATTGACTCTTTTCTCCCATATCAAAATTTCGTATTCTAAATAAAATAAATCTAATTAATATCAATTATACATAAATATATTTTAATTCTATACAAACTGTATTTAGCATGAATATATTTAAAGTAAAATTTCAGTAGCTTTATACCTATTCAGACCTTTTTTTCCATCAGAATATTATATGCAAATTTATCGTTCGAACATAGTAAATATCGATGCATCCTGCAAGTAAAAAGTTCTCACATAAATTGCTCGACGTAACTCATTTAATCTTACTGCAAATCGAGCTTTATAAAACGTTATCAAAGAACTCGTTATCGGTGTAAATAGCGATACGGTTAATTCCGATATCGAACGGAAGTTCACCAAGCAAGGTTATACGTTTCGTTCTAAATAATAAAAATAACAGTCCGCCGAAACGTTTCCGCGTTTCAAAATATTCGAAAGCGATTAATAATTACGCAGGTAGAACGGCGCAATTTGTCGGCTCTGTTCCGTCGATGAAAAGTTTATCGCGGACCGTTTCGGCCGCGACAACGTTTTCGCTTACCGTTTGATTCATTGTTGGGCTAATTTTATCTTTCGATTTTCCAACAATTTCATTTTTATTGGGTGCAAATCGAAATTACGGGTTGGGGCGGTGATTCACTCGCACGCGCCACAGGGAACGCTATTAATCGGAATATCCGCGGATGTACATACTGTATTCTCATTTATACGCAAATGTAACTGCAGCAACAGCAGGGATAGGACAGAGCCGGTGGGTGAGGGAACTGTTGAAATTTACTTGGAAAATGGAAAGCGTAGCCTGGCCTCGAGTTATCCACGATTCCTGGTTAACGAGAAAGCTTTGAAGACGATTTTTGAAATCCCCTGGAATAGCGGATCTGAACTAGAGAGTTCGCGCAATCGAAAACAAATCTAGCTCTCCTAGTGAACATAATCAAGGAAGGACACAACTTTCATTTGTTGATTTTTGGGGATTCCTGCAAATCGAAAGCTTTGAAGCTGGGTTAGAAACGTGGAAATATACGAATATGAGAATTTAGGGATATCTGTGGACATGAGGTTGTAAGGGTATTAGACATTTTGGGGTGTTAGGACTTAGGGATGTCGGATCCTTATAATATTAGGATCTGTGCAAATTTTATTTTAGAAATATTATGTTTTATGAATCTAGGGATATTGCAAGTGATAGTTCAATCTAGATAGGAATGTAAATATCCTTAGAAATTTGTATATTAAAGACATGTGCAGTATAAAACACATTACGCTTTCGTAGCATGAATTCTGTCTCTTCCTCCGGTTAATGATCCAACTACTCTATGGCAATATAACTCGAGTTCGCCGTATTTCCACTGCGTTTGATAAAAATCTCCACGCGATATAAAAATCCGGATACTTTGAAAGTTACGACGGTTTGATATGCATTGAAATTCCAGTCGACCGTGAGAAGCATCTGGTCGAAGGGGTTAACGAGCAAATTTTCGTCGACGATTTCCAATCGCGATATTGCTGTTCATCGATCAACGTATTCATCGAATTTCCAAGCGTATGCTCATTTTCGAGGTTCGTATGGTCCGTCGTGTCATTATCTATTTATCGGTTTATTAAATGTTTCAAAACCGTGCACCAACGAGAAGAGGCTCCACGGCTTTTCCGTCAGTTTTTAATATTCGCGTATCACGGAATACCGTTGATCATTGATGCGTGGAATGTGCATCGCGGTCGGTCACTCGCCGAATTTTTCTTCCCTTTTTTTTTCCTCTCCTTTCCGGTCCTGCACGGCCGAACGTTTGTATTCGCTTCGCGAAATTGATGGCGCGTTTCCAATTCGTCCAATTCAATCGGTGTGTCGGTAGTGGGAACAGGAAAGGTGTTTTTTTATTTTTTTTTACCTTTTAAAGCTATTATACGATTCCGCGTGTCATGGCAAGTTGATTTTTATACACGATAAAAATGTAAATATTTGCTTTGTTCAAAAAAATTGGAATCTTACGCTTTTTTTATTGGCAAAAATTGTTTTTTCAAATTATATCGTTGATGGTAGTCATTGATCTTCTTTTATTGAAATTTTTAATATAGACTGTGAAGAGGGTGTCTTACAATTAGTGTAGGTCCCTGAAATGGTAGCTGACGAGATTCTGAATAAGATTTCCCTTTGCAGAAATGGGGTTTGAAGCTTCGTTTTTGAGTTATTAGGGAAAAACATGGACCAATAAGTCGACGCGTGGTAATTCGACGCGTGGTAATTCGACGCGTGGTAATTCGACGCGTGGTAATTCGACGCGTGGTAATTCGACGCGTGGTAATTCGACGCGTGGTAATTCGACGCGTGGTAATTCGACGCGTGGTAATTCGACGCGTGGTAATTCGACGCGTGGTAATTCGACGCGTGGTAATTCGACGCGTGGTAATTCGACGCGTGGTAATTCGACGCGTGGTAATTCGACGCGTGGTAATTCGACGCGTGGTAATTCGACGCGTGGTAATTCGACGCGTGGTAATTCGACGCGTGGTAATTCGACGCGTGGTAATTCGACGCGTGGTAATTCGACGCGTGGTAATTCGACGCGTGGTAATTCGACGCGTGGTAATTCGACGCGTGGTAATTCGACGCGTGGTAATTCGACGCGTGGTAATTCGACGCGTGGTAATTCGACGCGTGGTAATTCGACGCGTGGTAATTCGACGCGTGGTAATTCGACGCGTGGTAATTCGACGCGTGGTAATTCGACGCGTGGTAATTCGACGCGTGGTAATTCGACGCGTGGTAATTCGACGCGTGGTAATTCGACGCGTGGTAATTCGACGCGTGGTAATTCGACGCGTGGTAATTCGACGCGTGGTAATTCGACGCGTAGTAATTCCACGCGTGGTAATTCGACGCGTGGTAATTCGACGCGTAGTAATTCCACGCGTGGTAATTCGACGCGTGGTAATTCGACGCGTAGTAATTCCACGCGTGGTAATTCGACGCGTGGTAATTCGACGCGTAGTAATTCCACGCGTGGTAATTCGACGCGTGGTAATTCGACGCGTAGTAATTCCACGCGTGGTAATTCGACGCGTGGTAATTCGACGCGTAGTAATTCCACGCGTGGTAATTCGACGCGTGGTAATTCGACGATGCGTGGTAATTCGACGCGTGGTGATTCGACGCGTAGTAATTCCACACGTGATAATTCGACGCGTGGTAATTCAATGCGCGGTAATTCCATGCGTGGTGAATTCGACGCGTGGTAATTCGACGCGTAGTAATTCAACGCGTGGTAATTCGACGCGTGGTAATTCGACGCGTAGTAATTCAACGCGTGGTAATTCGACGCGTGGTAATTCGACGCGTAGTAATTCAACGCGTGGTAATTCGACGCGTGGTAATTCGACGCGTAGTAATTCAACGCGTGGTAATTCGACGCGTGGTAATTCGACGCGTAGTAATTCAACGCGTGGTAATTCGACGCGTGGTAATTCGACGCGTAGTAATTCAACGCGTGGTAATTCGACGCGTGGTAATTCGACGCGTAGTAATTCAACGCGTGGTAATTCGACGCGTGGTAATTCGACGCGTGGTACTTGAATGCGTGGTAATTCGACGCGTGGTAATTCGACGCGTAGTAATTCAATATATGATAATCCTACGCGTGGTAATTGCATTCGTGGTAATTCACCAATCAGAGCGCAAGGATTAAAACGAAGCTTCAAACCCTATTGTTGCAAAAGGAAATCCCATTAGCTATTCCCCATTTCTTGGATCTACAGTGGTGAGCCACCCTGTATATTCAAGCTTCCATTACACAAGAACCATTCTATAGCATCTCATCAAGATGTAAATAATTTTTCTGAAAATATTACGTACTGAATAATGTTTACTACAAAATCCAGCGCCATAATTATTCTTCCTTCATTTATTATTCATCTGTCCTTGAGTCGTTCATGTATTTGCAATTAATTGAATTTCCAATTT